TGTGTGTGTGTTTGTGCGTTTCTATGTGATTCTGTGATATAGAGAGAAAGGGAGAGACGGTGCGAGAGAGAAAGCGTTAGGGCAAGAGATTAGGGCGACAGGGAGAAAGAGATAGACAGAAAGATGCGCCCGCACGCGAGGCAAAGAGAGAAGGATTGAAATAGTGAAGAAAAATAACCCGAGAGAACCTAACTTTCAACTCTTCTCTCTCTGAGTATTTTTTTTTACCTCGGAAGCGAGCATCACTTTCCCAGTTTCTGGAAACAGTTGTGAGGAAGAATTCAGCTTGAGGGCACTGTGCTGCCGACTGGAGTTTATAGAAGACATCGAGTTGATGTGCAGGTCCGTCGACGCCAGAGACGCTTTGGGAGACACAAACGAGACAGTCTTAAACTCCCCATTGTCGTTGGAGCGACTTCCAGTGTCCAGGGAACGAGTAAAAATATTCCCCACATCTTCTTTGTCTTTGAAACGAAGTTTTTGTCTTTTGCTCGTTTGATCAGGCGATCGCTCTGTTGGACTGAGTCTGAGGAGGGGTGGAGGGGGCGTTACGTGAACCCCTGGACCCAGCTTGAAGGTGGAGAGGATGGAGATGGCACTCCCGTTGTTGTTGCTGCTATCGTACTTGGCGCCAAAGTCGCTATGGCTGTTGGCGGAGTCGATGAGCGGGAAGGCTTTGGAGTTGTAAGGAGGACTCTCGATGGCGTTGTGGTTGGTTTGGGAATCGACGAACCCTTGTCTGTCGGTTAGATCTAACGTCAACGGGCTCGGACTCGGGTTGTGATTCGAAGACGGGTCTGTGGATATTTTTGGAAGCTTTCTGGATGAACCGTAGGGAGTACATGGGCTCCCGTTAGACTCAATGTTTGATATAGGCGCTCGAACTGGCTCGTGTATTGGCCTCAGCGCACATCTGCGTATTGGAACGTCAATGGTCACACCTTGAGCGTCAGTGACGGCAGTGATGGGAGACCGGTTAGTTGTCTGCTCCGAGGTGGGAGGGGCGTGATTGTGTCCGGCAAGACCGTGTGTTGCGCTCATTTCGATCGTGTGGACGCCAGTGTCTGAAGCTGGAATACCCGTAGTGGACTTGGGGCTGTGTGTGATGGCCATGTTGAGGTCAGGGGTCACCGAGTTCTTGATACCGGGCATACCTCGTGCTCAGATTCTGGGAGAACAGATTAGAAAATTGTTATTTTTTTGTGTTTGTTTTGTTGTTTTGTTGGGCTATTTCTTGTTTCCCTTTTTTGTTTTTTCTTTGTTGCTGTTGTTCTGGCACACGGGAAAATATCGACAATGGTACAAAAACTAAAAGTTAAATAAGTTGAAACATTTTAAAAAAGACAAACGAGATGAAATATCAGAGGGAAAAGAAGAAATTGAGCCTGCCAGTGGCGCCTTCCAACATACAA